ATCGATTCCACGTTTGTCCTCACCTCCATGTGTCGTTGTCTAGAAAGCATGAATTGATAGGTGCCAACAAATCGAGGGGGTAAGTAGTCTGGGGAGGCGGGGGAGGATTCAGCCGCACCTGTGCTTCCTTTCCCATTATCAAGGGTTTTTTAATTTTCCATCCCCTTCCCGAAAAAATTCTTTTTTTTTTGCCAAAAACTACCAATGAGTGGATGATGTGTAGCCCGTGAAACAGCAAAACCAAGAACGAACGAAAAAGTCAACAACCGAAAATATCTTTTTCGGTAGTAAGTAAGACGCCCTCTTCCCACCCCAAACAAGGCCCCTTTGTTGGGGATTCTCAACGGACAACATGCCGTGTTCGGCATTGCCAAATGACCGCAGCTTCATTCCTCCCTCTGCATTTTTTACGGCCACTGAGGGCGGGAAAAGAAGAGGCGCACCAATGATGCCGTTTTTTGACCCCGCCCATTTCTCAATTCCATACTGCGTCTTGAAAAACAACATTCAGATGATAAATCCAACTAACCGAAAGTCTCCTTCCTTCCTCTCTGTTTCATTGACTAGACCAACAAGAGGTGCTATTAGATAGCGATTTACCAAAGTAACAAATGTAAAATATACATAAACAGCAAACGGTCCCAACCATCCCGAGCTAAACAAAGTAATTTTACTGAACCAGCTGAAGTAAAAAAAACCATTGAAAAACTGACCTTATCCAAGTAAGGTAAGTATAATACAAAATAATGAATGGAGCAGTAATGACTGGAGCTAACAAATCACAGGCTAACACCTGAGTAGTTTTCTCTATATCCTGGGTAAGTCGTTGATCGCTGAAAAATCAGCAGGAGCTGAGCTAATAGAATTGCAGCGGAAAAGGAAATTCAAAATCGAGACTGGAGAAAAAAATCGGCTTAGACTTACATATTGTCCAAATTTTCAGAATATAAATTCAGCTTGTAAAAAGCTCGTCGTTTAAAATATAACCTATGTAACGTGTAACTGCAAATCTCACGGCATCTAATCGCAAGAATAGACGTAAAATACTTGATGGATGCCAACGTCTGCAATGAAGCCATGCCATGAGAAGAAAAAAGAGACTCAGTTACACATGTGCCTTCATGAGCATACCAGAGATTTTGCGATTACTATAAGAACGGATTTCGCACACAATAAGTGAAATGCTGATATATCCCTGTTCCCAAGAACCACGTAGAACTGGCTTGGAAGTATACCGACGAAATACGTTGCTGCTTGGTCTGAAACAGACTTCTGAATTATTAATACCACAAAAACTCAGAATTTTTTGCTAACACTTCGCATTTAGAGGCAATTCGGTGGCCTGATAAAATGACATACGCTTTTGGCGCTGGCGCCATTTCGCGCCGAGAGATGTCATTAGAGCGCCACCACCTTCACCACAATCGGTATACACCTGCACACTACGTTATTTGGTGCCCCAATTACGCAGGCACCTTCGTTATTCCCGCAGGCGCTAATAAACGGCCCTCTGATAATTCACGCTCTGCTAAAATTGAGCCTAGCGGGGAGGGTGCCACTCCTTCCAAGTTCAGAAATGCAGAATTGGGCAATAAAGAAAAAGGAGAAGATGCGTATCGATCTGTCCCCGCAATTCATCATTTTTTTTCGATTCTGCAGTTCTTCCAATCGATACTTAGCTAGTTATTTTTTTCAATTCTTCAATTTTGCATTTCCTCAATTCGTCGATTTTGCATTTCCTCAATTCTTAATTATGCACTGTCGCAAGCCGTGAGCCGTAAAATAGCAGTAACAAAAAGTTAGGCAAAGACATAGCTATTCCTTGGGGCTGTTGTAATGGGCGATTCTCCGAAGTAAACTGAGAGGAAACTTATCCTCCCCTGGTCAATGATATCTCAGTTTTACTAAAAGTGATCTCAGTTTTACTAAAACTGATAGATGATTGCATCCCTCTCAAGGCAATGGCTAGGAGTAATTCGAAGGACCCACTGTGCAGAGATGTGGCTACCAGGTTCATCGGAGCCGACATTCTCTCCCTGCCAGGCTTAGAATAGTCATTTTTTTAAAATCCTCATTGCCATGCAAGCCCAGTTCTAAACAAGGTGTACTTCAGATGCCTCCACAAGACCACTAATACCTTTCTCTTCCCTCGCTCCCCTCTGCTGAACGAATATTGGTGTTGGACGGGTATCGGGTTGTACTTTGGATGGACTTTTATCATCGACTATGGCGTGCTCTGATTACATTGGCGTTTAACTTGTAAATATTTATAACAGTTACCTGTAAACGACGTGATGAGCACGACCAGGGCTAGCCAGGTTGTCCTCGATCGACGATTAATTGGGAACAAGAGCTTTAGAAGAGTGCCCAGCCGCCGAAAGAATAACATGTCCAGCGACAACGTCCCCATTTTGGTGGAGGTTGGGCGGATGAAGAAGCTGAAAGCTGTTCCACCGCTGTGATATTTCAGAAGCATTACTGACGATGTTGCTCGATGTATGGAGCACAAGTTAAGAATTGTGCATGAATACAAGACGTCGCGGGGCACATGACAAGTGCAAAATGGCAGCGCATTGAAAAGACTCAGTAACGGAAGGAGATGGAAAGAAATTGAGACCAGCGGTTGCGAACAAGATTGACAGCGACAAAAACATTATGATGCATGAGATCAGACCCGAATAGCTCAAAAATTTCCTTTCGTTGAAGAAATCTTTTTTTGAACGCGAATCGACCTTTGTTACACAACTACGAAACGAGGGCACGTCAAGGGCGTCGACACAAGCTTCACGTAGAATGAGCCACAGCTTTCGCACGTTGAACCAAGTAATCTTACTTGAAGGGCCCATTTGATGTCCAAGCCCCTTCTCAGGCGATGGTAGTCCATCTGCAAGCACGGAGAATGTACCACTTTCGCATATCGAAAATATCGCATATGCGGCGGAACCACCGCACCGCCTCCTAACCACGGCAACGTCCAACTTTCATTTCAAAGGCTTCACGGTGTTACGGTTGTTCTGATACTCTCTTCTTTTCGAATGACGAGAATGAGGTGATAAGGAAAAAGAGTCGACACCGACAAGAGAGAACTCTACGACACTTTTTCTTCGCCTTCACATGAAAGCGCGGCTCTGCACGAAGTCCTATATAGGGCGGGTTTTTAGTGTTTTTTTGTGTTATTTACCATCTTTTCATTGATATTCGAGCGGCACAAATCACAATTTTTCAAAGCAGGCGTATAGTCTAGTTCACTGCGAACGATGGTGCGTGTCAGGCGGGATGAGTTTGGCGCGGTGCCGAACCCGTTCTCCACCAGCTGTTGGAGCGAGCAAGTGACGACAGTATCACATCGTTCGTATCACTCGTCTTTCACTAATACTTGCCACATATCGCTTCAAAACTGGCGGCGAACGGGTTAGGCACCGTGGCACATTCATACTGCCTGACACTCTCCTTCATCCAATGAAGTTCAAATTCTAATCCAAGCACTGTGACTGCAAGTAGCTTCAGCGAAAAAAGCATAGTTGAGAGTGACAAAGCCCGTTAAGGACTTTTCGAAGAAATGCACAACTAGACAAAAAGTTCATTCTCTTTTAAAGGTGGTCCATATGGTCACACAAGAATACAACCCAAACTTGCGGTTTTGAGCAGTAAAAAAGAGAATATGACTAAAAAAATCAAGAGAACGCCCTTCGCTTCAGTCAGTGCCAGGAACGATGCCAAAATCATATAAACTACAGAAACGTGTATGCTTCGTCTCTCATACCGCACTATAACCCCAATGATGAGAAGCGCAAAATGCAAAGAAAAATACCGAAATATTTTGCACGTGAAAGAAAAAAACAAGTAAGTGAAGTCAAACGGGTTGATTCTTCC